CAAAGTGGAGAAAGATATATGTAGATATGGATATAGAGATATAGCAATATATCTGTATATTTAGGTCTTTGAGGATCACTTCAGGGAGCCTGCTATGGAACAAATCCAAACTTGGTCAAACGTGGAAGGCCAACTTTTGATAAACATATCAAACACATAATTAAAAAATGTGGTATCTGCTGTTTGTTTGTGTTCATGGGGACAAGCAGAACCCCACACAAAATGATGAGATTATTTGGTTGTGAAAGGATGACCCCCAAGAATAAAACATGCAGAATCACACAAAATTTATAGATCACTCCTGTAAAGTCTTGGAGGTTTTTCACACTGAAATCTTTAAGGTAAATTTCCATTGACTTGGTGAGAAGCCAGTTGAGAATCCCAGATCCACGTTTCTTTGGAGCTCCAGGGCAGCTCTCACACAGGCCCAGGCTCCTCATTCCTGAGCACAGGTGCTGACCCTGAGTGCAAAGGCAGCTCCCCCATCCCTTACTGAGACTCCCAGTGACACCAGTAAATTGTACTGGTCTGCTCTGGACTGGCACTGACCCTTTTCATGCAGCCCTGTGACAGCAACATCCTGGGGCTGCTGCACATCCAGCCAGGACTGAAACAGTGACTCAAAGACAATTATTCTCATTCAAAAAATAAATCTGAAATAGATCACAAAATGCTTTGGAAGAAAGGAGACAGGGAATGACCTTTTCTCAAAATTTGAGCAAAACACGACTCCTTTTTTCTTGATCTAACACAACCTGTTTTGTTTTGTTTTGTGTTTTAAAGAGCTACACTGACTGAAAATAAAAATCTTCTCTCCATCCAAAAGAAATCCTGGAAGGCAGCTGGGTAGTTCTAACAAACATGAAATACTCTGCTAAAAGACCAAACTAAACAAAAACGTAACAAGGGCTAAAGTGGCCCAGACAGCTCAGCATCACTATCTGGAAAATAACTTGGCATTCACAGCTACAACCAAACAGAGAAGATTAGCTTTGTTTTCTACATCAAACATGTCTTTCTTCCTTTCTCTTCAAACATAAATAGTTCCAGGCTCTAAAATAAATTAGCTCAACTTGGGTTATACAAGCTGTTTCATTTTTTTTTCTTCAAAAGGGAATATAGATGTTTGTTTAAAAATTGTAAATAAAATATAAACAGAGATTTTTCATTGCATGGTGATTCTTTCCAGTGGGTAGTGATCAGCACTATGTCCATTTTCCTTCCTTATCCTATACTTTGGTATCACAGCATTATTATGACTACTTCTCATGGGAAATGGATGAAAAAAAATCATGCAGTAAGAAGAGGTTTATCTGTACTTATTCACTGTAAAAGCAAAATAATAATCAAGTTTAAAATCCACAGAAAATAAATGCGACAAAATTACTTAACATTACTTTTACGTTTTTTCTTTGAAAAATCCCTCTTTCTTTATTTGTATGTGCTATGTGGAATATGCAAACCCAAAAAAGCTGGTTAGTGAAAGACAACAGTTCTTTAAGCCCACCAAGCCCTTGCTGCTGTCTCTGGTGGGTGTTCCTGGGAGCTGAGTGCTGTCTGGGTGCTGATTGTGCTGCTGTGGGGTGGTTTTAGGAGATGGCTGCAGTGCTGCAGCTCTGGGATAACAAAACATCCTGCAGTACCAGTGAGCTGGTGTAAACAGAAAGCTCTCCCTGGCTTCAAACCATGGCAAGATGTTTTGTATGTTAACTGGAACGTTTTTATTGTGTTTTCAAAGATGTAAAACTAAAGCAGGTCCTAAGTACTTCCATGGTGGGATGTGAAGTTTGGCTCTAGGGCACAATTAGCCAAGGGCAGGGTTTTTTTCCCCTCAATATTACAGTGATGCTTCACATCCTTCCTCAAACTGGCTGGGGTGAGGTGTCTCTGGCTTGGAGTCTTTCTTAGCATGGAGCAGATTATTACTTTTATTATTGATTTATGCCATGGCTGTCTGCTTCCAGCCTCAAAACACTTTACTGAGTTACAATATACTTAGGAATCATTTCACGTCAGCCACTACCACGCTGCAGCCTTCTCCAGAGGGAAGCTGAAGGGAGCCATTAGGATGGTGCCTGCAACATTAAACAACAATCCAGGAGAGGAAGTAAAGAATACTCTGGCTCCTTAAAGCAATGGCTGAACAGAATGCAGTCACTGAGCTGCCATCCAGCTGGGACACCAAAGTCAATACCCATTCACCGTGTGTGGTTAAAATTAAATCTCCTAATGAAGTGAGATGGTTTTAGTGGTTAGAGAGTGAGTGCAAAGTATTATTCTCCTCTATGATTATTTGTAAGTTATACAGCTAACAAGGGAAAAGATCACACACAGGAAAACAGCAGACAGTTAGATAATGTTCCAAGCCCAGTTTCTAAAAAACATTTGGGCAAATAAAGCTTTGGGAAAAAAAAAAAAAAGAAAGAAGAAAAGGAAAAAGAAAGATGACACAGGATAAATTGAATTGGCAGTTTTTCACTGTTTTTAGGGAACTAAACTAAGCCAAACAGAATTGATGTCAGTTTTTATTCCCTACAGTTCAGGTCCAAAGAAAAGAACATTATTAGTTTCTGTTAATGAGAAGGTATTCCCTAAACACTGGTGCAAATGCTCCTGAATTTTAATTTGCTTAGAAAAAGAAATGGTAAAGTATTGAGGGGGGAAAAAACCCCACATTAATAGCTTCTTTTTTGTTTGTTTGTTTGGTTTTTTTTTTTTGTTTTTGTTTTTTTTTTTTTTGTTCCTGAATTAGCAAAATGCTTTGGTGGTTTTCTGGACGGGAGGTTTATATATCTGACTAAAAAGATCCTCACACTTTGTTATCAAGCTCTCCTTTCAGGGCTAGTAATTGTTAGCTGGTTCTAATCATTCTTGCAAATGATCATTTGAAAGGTTCATTTTATGACCCCTCAAAGTAGCACAAAGAATCTCACTCCATAATGTAAGAAACAATTCTACAACCAGTGCTTAATTAATTCCTGAAAGTCACCAAAAGGAGCTATTAATGATCTTTCTTTTTATCTAACCATAAATATACAAGTCTCCTGGGACAAAGGATTTTAAAAGAATATTCTGGCAAGACTAACTGTCAACTTGATAAAGCAGAAAATGATCATGAGTGAGGGTAATTCAAAATACAGGGCAGTGCTACCTGGTCTGATCAGAAAGTTAGGTCAGGTTGGATTAAATTTCTCTGTATGCTGTGTTTATCAAAAACAGGACACCACTGACATGGTACAAACCAGATTCAACCCAAATGAATACCCAAGAGAAAAGTACTGCAACCTTCACAAAATTATTTTTAAAAATTAGCTCTGTTTGAGAATGTGATTTTCTGTGAAAAAACCAAGAATCATTATAATTAGAGGGTGGACAATGTTTCAGGATTATTTAAAATACAACTATTATGAAGAACAGTCTGATATTTTCTAGATAACTTTGGTGTTTTAGGAGCCCAAATATTGTTTTCACGAGTAAATCAGGCAGTGGGAAGCTCTTAAATGAAATTTAGTTTCCTGGCAACACAACCCATTGCTGAAAATTAGATTTAGGCTTCTAAAGGGCTTTGATGTTTTTGAAAATCACACTTCCTGCACACTGCACAGCTGACTAGGTGTAATACATTAATTTGCCTTCTACTGAGGCTTGCAGGGCATTATCACTTTGATGGCCTCAGTAGTGTCTGGGAGGTTGGGTTTTGGTTTTTTTTTTTTCATAGAATGCAAAAAATTATTTTGCTGGGCATAGTCAGTGATGAATGGAATCTGTGACCAGAAGCAGGAGGAGGAAGGAAAGAGACAATGTACCTTTTCCAAAATAAACTCCTGTAGTGCTTTGGGAGCTTGTGCTGGTGCCAGTGGAGCCTGTGCACTGCCAGTCCCACCTTTGGAAGGGCTCCCTGAGCTGCTGGACCCTTGAGGGATGGGATCTTTCTGAATTTCTCCTCTTGAAACCATCCCTGGGACACCCCCATGGAAACATGAAACATTCCCCACCACACAGCCAGGACAGTGCTGCCTCTGAGTATGGGAACTTTGGGTTTAGGCACCTCTGAAAGGAGTTTTCAATGATTAACACAAAGAAACAAACACAGCAGGAAGCGTGAAGGGAGAAACTGGGGGGAAATAACTAAGGGAACTTTGAGGCTCCCACTCCCTGACTCCCCTGGGCAGGGCCAAGGAGGCTGCAGATCCCCAGTGCCTTGACCTGTGGGAGGATTCCTGCTCCCACTGCAAGCTGGAGGCTGTGGATTGCGGTGCTGAACACTGAAGAACTTACTGTTCCAAAGATTGTAGAAAACCTGAAAGTTCCTTTAAACAGGAAATTTAAAAAATTCTAATTTTTGTTCTAATCTTCAATAAAACTTGCTTTTTTTCCTTAATGTTGGAATTTCCTGTGGAACAGAAATTCTGTTTTAAAACCATCTCTATTCAACAGGGCTATTCAGATGGAAGCATTTTCTTATTCATTCCACTTTGCAACTAACTGGTGCCACCCCAAATGTATCACTCTTCCAAGAATGATGTGGCAGCCCTGGAATAGCTAATTAATTGGGCTGTATGATGCCTGTGCCAGAAGTTTCAGCTTCCAGAGGCATTCCTTTAAGGAATGGTGGTGTGGGTTTGGCTTTTACAAGGATACACATGGTTTCAGGAGCCCACAGGCACCAAAAGTTAGTTTGTGTTTTGTAACTGCTCATCTCAACCCAGTCATTGAGCTGATGTCTTAACCACAGTGAGTCAAGAAAACTTCTTCAAAGCACTCATGGAGAAAGCTTTTGGTTAATTAATTTTTCTTTTTTTTTTTAATAAAAATTTTGTCCTTGGGTAATCTTTCAAGAAAATTCCACTTCTATGTCTGTTTACTGGGAAAATAATTCCATTTAAACACTACTTGCATCATAATATAACCTCTTGCATATAAATACCTTTGCCACTTAGCCCTCAAATTTTTGTACCCTCAAATTGTTAAGGGGAATGAGAGATGTCAAAATCCAGTACCTTTATACTTGGTCACCACAGCTGAGTTGACACTGAGGGGTTCTTGGAAGGTGACAGTGAGTGATGTGCTGCTTGTTACCATGAGACAGACATTGGTTGGCGCCTCGGGGGCTCCTGGGAGAGAAGAGAAAACATCAGCTCTTCAGCACAACAAATCCTATTCAAACAATGTTCCTGAGTCTTCAAAGAACCCACTGAAAATCACCCTGCAATTGTGAGCTTTGGGTTGTAGGTGTTTGTGTTTTCTGCCTTTTGAGCATTTTAATTAGCGACCCTACTAACAATATCCTGCAGACACCATTTGTTTCTATCATGGTTTTTGGCTCCTTTTTGGTTAAAAATATCTTCCTGCATATATGTAACCCAATAAAACAGATCCATGCTAATTATGTCAATGAAAAGCCCCTATAAATCTCTTAGGGTGGATAAGAGGAGAGGGAAAGGACAAAACCACAAAGAGCTAATGAAACTTTGATGGTTTCACTAACAAACTCAAATTTATCAAAAACCAGAAAACATTTTTATGTTATTCAAAAATTGCAAATTCCACAATGCTTTTGGTGTAATAGTTCCAAAATACAGTTGTCAATTGGGGTTTAACATTTTTGTTTAAAAAATGAAAAGGGGGAAAAAAAGCTTAATTTGCAGAATATCAATAGACTCAGTTCAGAAATCAAACACAAAAATGTCATGACTTACTGCTGGGATGGATTTTAAAAGTCAGTATATTAACTTTCACTATTTCTGTATTTCCTGTATTTAGTATTTAAGAGAAGGAGTATTACATCTGTCTTGAAGAAATAACCTTAACATACCATAAATTTGCAAAAATTATTTGTGAGTACATTTATATAAATATGGGTTTAAAAATGTTAATGGCAATGATCATATTCCATCACATAGGGTACAGCTAAAAGATCCACATGTCTAGAAACAATTCAGGCCTGTTTACTCCTTCATTTGGGCCCAAATTCCATTTAATTTGGATACAGACTCACTTGCACAACTGTTTAAAGTGACTCAATTTGTGTCCGTGGTGATGAAATGGATACCAAAATTAAGATTAGTGCTTATCAAAATTAAGGTTAAATTTTCACAATATTTATGTGCCAAATGAAATTTCACTGCTTGATCAAATATTTAGAACAATCCCATTCCAAAATAGTAAGTTCTTTTGAAAAATAATTAAATTACAACAGAGGAAAGGCCAACGTCTCCATCCCTCTTCCTGGCTATTCATATGTTGTTTTATAGCATCCTGTTTTAAATTCTGAACATGTTAAATGAGATCCAGGAGTAAATGTGAAAAGAGATAAGCAGGGCAGAATCATTGCATCCTGAATGAAGAGTTGGTATGTTGGATGTTGTATTAATTTTATGCAACCTAAGGAGCCATGTGCTTGTTTCTCTCAGATGTTTGGTCCTTTTGTTGTTCTAACAGTGATTTCCTTCTCCCTCTTGGAAAGGCCATTTCACCTTTGTGCCTCAGTTTCCCCATCCCAACCTCCTCCAGCTCCCACTCACAGCAGTGCTGTGAGGATCATCATCTTTGGAGAGGGTTCTCAGCTGCTGATTCCTGCCTGGAATTTTGCTGTTTCCTTGTACTTGATGTCATTTTTGCCTTTTTTCATTTTATATGTTCCCTGTATTCTCCACACCTATATTTGGAGCTCTGTAGCCTGTTGTATTAGTAGCTAGTTTGCCCAGTGCTTTTCCACAGCCCTTCCTCAAGCAGAAAGACAAAACAAATTCCAGAGTTCCAAGCCCTGGGAGGTGCAGGGTCCCAGTGCTGTCTTGGTTCTTCCTGGGAACCAAAGCTGAGAACAACTCCTTGACATCCATTTCATGTTCAGAGCACAGCCAGTGCCAAGGGGGGAGCTCCAGAGAAGGGGCTTAACCTGGGGGGGGGGGGGAATTGCATCATCACTTATCCTCCTAATTGGTGCTTTTTATCCATTATGCTAATTTCCTAAAACCTATAAAAATGTACTCATCCCTGTAGGGGTGGCCTTTTGTGGACATCTTTCTATAACAGCCCCTGAAGGCCTTCAAATAAAGATCCTCTTTTTTATTACCTCCTTACTAAAATTACCTCGAGTTTCATTTCCAAGTTGAGGAAAAGGCAACATACTCACGGGCATGCTCGTAGCCGGCCTTCATGCGCTGGTAGAGCCTGGCCCTCCACTCCCAGCCCTTGAGCTGCTTCTCCCGCTCGGCGCTGTCTGTGCCCAGCCCCTCGCTCGCTGCCTGCGCCGATAACTCCGTCACTCTCTGCTGGGCCTCCTGCACCAGCGTGCTCAGGTGCACAGACCTGCTCTCCACAGTCACAACTGACAGGAAAAGAGGGAAATAGGAAGTGCTTGGCAAAATGTTGGCCGTGCTCAGAACACATCTTAGGTTACAATGTAAGATGTGCTCAAAAGTGTGTGTTCCATCACCATCTTCATAAGCTGTTAGAACCAGACAGGGCAAAGTTCCTTATTTCCTTCATGACTCATCCCTGATAACTCTGAGGGATCTCTTCTATTCATGGGCCATTGAGTGTCCCTCAATGGCTGATAAAATTACATCATCTCCTTGGGAGATGCTCCACCCAGGGGCAGGAACCAAGCATTCCTACCTGGATGTGATCTGAGGTTTGGAACACCATGGCAGCCTTTTCTCCACTGGATTCTCAGAGGACAAGGCCTCCATAACCACCACTGGACCTTCAGAGGAAAATCAAGCCCTTCTACAGGATCACCACTTCAACAGAACCACATTTGTCACTCCAGGAGAATTGCAGCCACCATTTAATCTGACTGCTACGTGCACCCTGAACAACAGGGTGTCAGGTTGTATTCTGACAGTGTTTCTGTATTATTGCATTTATTTTGATTTTCCTTAAAGATCAGGCCACTTAAATGTCATTAACAAAATGAATTAATTTGCCAAATTTTTTCCTCAGGTATTTTTCCTATGCTTAGAATTGTCTTAATTAGACTGAAATTGCATATCTGTTGTAAATCAAATATGAAAATCAAGCTAAGATAATAACCTTGCTCTCTAACTTCTGCTTCGGTATAATATTGTAAACTTACATTTAAAAAAAGGAGATTGTACTGATTACAAACACAATCTATAAACTTCGCCAAACAAGAAGAGATCTGATAGGCAAAATTAAGAATTTTTTGTGCCTAAGGTCCATGGCTGGTAGAGAATTGATCTCTTTCCACAGTTTTGTCCAGAGAATTTAATTAGTCCTTTGACAGGCAGTGAGCAGCTTGCCACATGGAGATATTTTCTTCCCATGCTCAGAATAATATTAATTTGATGTTTAGCTGTTCAGATTTTCTGTGTGAAGTATTGTGGGCTACATCAAGGTGAAAATTAAGATCACATAGGTTACAAACTAGAATAGGTTTGATTTTAGCCCAAGTTCCCAAACAAGCCCCTTGATTGTACAGTGAAATGTGGTGAATCAAGTCCTATTTTCAGAGTTGCTCTTAGCTTAAAATTGTTCAATCTGCAGTTTAGAAAGCAGGACTTGTAAAGATGTTTAATTTGAAAATAAATGCAGGTATTGAATCGGTTTTTAATATGCAGGAAAGAGTGCACTAGAGAAGGAATTCTGAAATCACTTTGGTGTTTGGTGTTTTTGCAGAAGAGCTCTGAGATAGTGTTAATTTAATGGGCCTCTTTTTTCCATAATCAGTGCCCTGGCACATGTGGCTTCTCTTAGCAATAGTGAGGAATTGCGAAGTAGAGACAGGCAGGCTCTTGGTTGCCCCAAGTCTTTCACAGGAACAGCAGGAGTCTCACACAGACTGAACCCATCATTCACTTGCACAAGTCAGGAGCAGCAGACATTTCTGAAAACATCAAACTGTACCATATAAAGCACCAAGACTCTCATAGATTTTTGACACCAAAACACCACAGGAGCAAATATGTATGTGGATATGAACGAATTATCTCTAAACTGGGATTGTATGGGACAAATTAGATTGGAAAGGAACTTTTCTAGACCAATTCTCTTCAAAACAGGCTCAGCCAAGAGGTCAGACTGAGTTACTGCAGGTATTATCCAGTCTGGTCTTGAAAACTTCCCAGGATGGATGGAGAATGTTCCACTGCTTCATTGTCCTTATAGTGAAAAAGGTGTTTGTTTTATCCAGCCTGAATCTCTCATTTTAACTTTCATCTCTGTCTCTCATAACAGTATGACAGCCAGAGTTTAGCAGAGTCTAAGAATAACCCTACTGATGTGAAAAGTGGCCTGGGATCTTTACAGCCACGGGAGAGCAAAGAATTACTCAACACCTCTGACATCCAAAGAGTTGTTTTTGAAGAATGTTTGTCTCTAAGACTTTGCTTTCAGAAGCTGGCTTGAAGCCAGCCTTCTTAAGTTTGATCATTCTTCATATGGACATCAGGGACATATGGCCAGGCTCCCTGGAACCTGCTGGTATCCTCAGAACTGTTGTTTACTGGGAGGCCAGAGGTGATAGGGTTTCCTGGATCCATGCCTACAATAAACATGCAACACATCTGATAGCACAACAGGACTGAGGAAGGAGATTTTATGTGCCAGAGCTTCAGGTGGTTGAGCATTGGCATTGGTTCAAGTTCTCACTAAGGATCTGGCTCTATCTGTTTAATCAAGGCTCAGATCCACATTTGTTGAGTCTCTGATGTCCAATCAGCCAGTGGGAATTTTAATCTTATTTTTATTTTGGTTCACATGAACAAGCCAAACCATGAGTATATGATAAATGATAGTAACTGAAAAGATAACACTTTGTCTTCTCCCCAACTAAATTAATATTTTAAATGGTCTACTCTCTGATCTTAGTTACTTTGTTTATAAAAGATGTTGGGTTCCTGTTGAGATTTATACAATCTGAGTTCCATGTGGAGATGAAGATCATAGTTTTACTTTCTATTGCTTTATCTGCTGCTGTTCCAGGCAGAAATCCAGGTGATACAGATGGAAACTATCTGTCCTCCAGATTCTCTTTTCTACAGAGTTAGGTTAGAGGCTATAATGAAATTTCAGCTGGATCACTGGAGCTAATATATACAGTGAAAGAACAGAGGTATTCTGTGAAGGAAGCTTTTTGTTTACACTTGGAATGAGGAATTCTTCCATTTCACCTTTTCCCAGCTCTGTGCATCTGTCTTGTACACTTCTAATCACATTAAGAGATGCTGTGTCCAGTCCCAGAACTGGGTGAGTCAGGATTTTACCCTCCCATTCAGCCTGCAGAAGTCTGGCTCAATTGCCCACCACAGAGGAATGAAAATGCTCCTGCTGGGTGCTGGATCATGTTCCTGCAGCCCTGAGATGATACAAACAGGATTTAATTTGAACAGGGTTGGTTGAGTACGAAAAGCAAAGCAGAAAATCTGGACAAAATAGAAGGTGACTGCCATCAGTTCCACAAGAGTGAAGACATGCACAAAGATGCTCTGAATCTTTGTTCTAAGGGCTGAAAATAAGTTTTTGCATTTCACTCTCAAACAGCCACTGCAAACCCTTCAGGTAAGAAATCCAAACAAAATGATCGTTTGCTTTTTACTGGGAATGTTTCATCCATTATTTCAATCAGAAAAACTAAAAATCAAGATAAGTGAAGTGGAAATTGGGTGGGTATATTTTGAAATGGAAATGAGGTGGTTATATATTCATATTCTCTGTGTTCATAGGCATGTTTGCATTAATTACAGGAAATGAATACTAATTTATGATTGCCCCTGCTCGCCATCAGACTGCATTTATTTACAGATGAGGTCAATGAAAAATTAGTTTAGTCTTTTTTACTGCTGTTTAGAACACTCAAGACTGTGTTTTCCTCTAGATTTGTCATGGTTAATGAATGTTGCTTCAGCAGTCAATCATGTACTCTAAATGCTGTCACACTTTTTTTTAAAGCCTCAGTCATGAACCATGACAGAAAAATAAACAAATAAATATAAAACTAAAAAACTCTTTTCACTGAGCAGCTACACTATGCAAAAATCTCCAGGGAAGGTTAAAGGAGGCCAGAATAAATGATAATATAAGTGCTGTGGATATAGAAAAGCAATAAAGGTGTACCAACACTGAGGGTCTGGCAAAAAAACTCAACATGCACATGCACACACACTCTCCAGTGAAAAAACTGGCAATGTTAGTAGCCTCAAGGTGCAATTTCCTGGAGCACTGAGATTGACATGCCAGCACTAAATGTTGTTAATTTAACTAACTTCAAATTAATGGCAGAGTCTGCAGTGGCCGAACCCCTCAAACACAGTCTCATTATAGCCTTGCTGGGAATGTCCTAAATATAGGCATTGACGGTTTAAAACAAATTCTCTTACATCGGGGTATTTTTAGACCCACATAAGGCGTCAGAGTTTGTGTCATGGTATATGGTTGATTAATTGGGTTGGTAAGTCACCCTCCAACCCACAAACTGGGCATAAAAAGCCCCATGAAGGAATACAAAGAAGTTTTATAACTACAATATGTAGTTATAAGCAATATTGGTATTCCAGTAAAGTGAGAAGGTCTGTTTTGTGTATAGGTCTTCTCTGGGTCTGTAGAACTTTGAAATTCTCATTTAAGTGGGATTTTAGGCCATTTGAAGACCAATAGTGAGGGGTCTGTGGGGAATGGAAGTGATAGATTTCAATATAACCAGCCTCCTGAAGGCAGCATAGCCAAAATCAAAAGGATAATAAAAATAAAGCAAAGTCTAGACAACCCATCATCCTTTCACTTTTGATGACAAACTCTGCATTTCAGACCACGATCTTTGAATCACTGAGTTCCTGTTGCCATATTTTTAAAGATTTTTTTCTCAAGGTTGCTATTAACCCAGCTGCCCCAGTGTTAATCACATTAGAAGCTCAGCATGATTGATTAGTTGGTGTATCTGAGAGAGAGAAAACAAATCTACTGAGCACGTATTCAACGAGCAGATATTGCTACAAATATCCTCCAGCACTTTTGTTATAATCATCTTTATGATAAAACCAGGCAATTTTTATGTGTCGTGTAATTGATTTTCACTATCAGCAGAACTGATCTCATACAAGCAATTATCTAAGTCAGTTTGTGTTCTTTACTTACAGTGTGGGCTTTCCTTTGCCCCAACGTGCAGAAGGGTCCTGGCAATGGGGACGTTGTTTGTCAGGATGGCAATGTCCAAAGGAGTGAGTCCCTCGCTGTTCGGTGTGTTCAGGTCCAGTTCCTCCAGGGTGTATTGATAAAGAAGAATCTGAACAGCATCCAGGTCCTGCTGCTCTACGGCCTCAAACATAGCTTCATTGCACTGGAAGTTCTGTTGTCAATAAAGACAGAAATTCAGTAAAACTTTTCATATGTTAGTGCTTTAAAAATAGAGAAAATTTGTGTTTTGTGAGTTTGCCCCTGAAAGTAAAATATTGCGCCTCCAGCCCCAACTTAGGCTCAGCTTGAAGCAAGGCAAATGTTTGCAGCAGAACTGAGCTTGGTCTACCCCTGGAGTGCTTGAAATTGCTTCAGGTCTGTGGGAAAATTCAAGTGACATTCAAGCCCATATGAAACAAACACATTTTTATTTAGACATCTGTCCTGTAATCAAACTGTATGAGCAACATTATGTTTGCAGCGTGAAACTGGATGACACACTACAATTTTGGCAGAGCCTTGGACTTCTGAGTTTTTCAAACTCAAAATTTCAAGTAGAAAACTACAATCAGATGATGAAAATCCAGATCAAACAAGCAGTTCTGCAGAAAAACCTTCCCAGTTCCAGTGTGACCCAGTGTGTTTTCTACCACCTCAGTTATTTCTAGGCGCCTGTATTATTGCTTTTAAGTTGTAACTAGAGGAAACTTTGAAATTTGTAGGCCTTATAAGCAGATGTAGAAATGGGACTGAAAAACTGGATTGTCCAATGTGCATGTCTGAGCAGCAGAGAGCACAAGCAGCCAAACATGAGAACTTCCACAGCACCAACTCTCAGGCAGGGAGAACCACTGAACCTTTTCCTTAGCAATGTCAAGGAGATAAAGGAATGGCACAACACAAAGGCCCCTGTTGTTTCCTAATTGAGCTGGGGAGAAGCAGGTGCAGGAGAGTAGCAGGGCCTGCAGGTTTCTTTTATGAGAACATCCTTCTGGAGTCTGCAGTAATGACAAGTTATTTGCCAAGATTCTCTAAATTCTCTCCCAGTGTCCCATTGCCATAATTACCTGATAGAGTTTTTCCCTCTTTGGAGTGAATTAGCAGGAGCAAGAGGCCCAGCAAGGCAAGGAGGGCTCAGAGCACAGATTCAGATACACAGTATAAACCCCAAAACCACTGAGAAAATTCTCATCACAGAATGCACTCTTTATTCCATGAAATACATATTGAACTGAAACCATCTTCTACTGTGATTGGAAGTTAACACTTAACCACACTAAAACTTTATTTTCTTTTTAAAATATCAATTTATCAATAGTTTTATTGGGCATATCTGTGTCCAAGTTTGCTCTCAGTGAAACAACATTGACCTGCTGGAACATCTGTGTGTCTCCTTGTAAAACACATGGACTGAGGGTTTCCACACAGTTCTGGAAACTGCAGTCCTCAGCTCCACCTTGGAATTTCATCAGTTCTACAGGAGCTTTTTTTCAGTGTGCTTGAACTTAAAAGTGTCTTGCAAAATGTTCAGGCCTGATCAGGGTCTTCTGGTCTACTCTTTGCATGTGAATTATTGGTACCACACTAAGAAATTGCAAAGGTGATGTTAGCTAAAAGTTTTAGTAGGGACCCCATCAGTGCTGAATATTGGGGATCAGCAGAACAGGAGGATGAGAGTGCAGAAGGTGCCCTGTACCCCAAACTGCCAATGTAATGAAATGAGATACTTATGTTGACAATCTAAGGGTGAGATGAGCTATGAAGCAATGATGCAAATCTGGGACAGTAGTGCTGAGTTGGGAATCACCTTGTAGACACTGAAGTACTGAACAGCTCATGATGGAGAAATATTTTTTCTGTAGGTTTCCATGCAGAATAAAAGATACGACTTAAACATCAGTGCTCTTCATGGGGTTCTGTCACATTCTTGGGTTTAGACTCTTCTCCAAATGATAAGATTCAGGTTTAATTTATAATTAGGTACTTAGGCCATATTCCAGGGTTGGTATAAGATAAAAAAATCTCAGAAAAAGGGACAATGGAATGGTAAACAGCTCTGTTGTCATTCTTTTTTAACCCCTCTGATCAAAATAAAAATAGTTTGTAAGGATATACATTGTCATTAGGTAGAGCACATGTCCAGAAAATTTTAAAAAATAAGACAGCACATATTTCTCTTATTATAAGGGAAAACTTTAAAAATGTCAGAAATTTTTACTGCAATGCAAGAATACTTCTTATCATTCCAGTAGTTCCACATACCTGTCTTGCTTATGTAACACCTTTCTAATCTTGGTACCTTGGTAGAAACATTACACTTATTCTGGTGTTTTGCCCATACCCTGAAAGGATGAAGTGCTCTTGCTAGAAATCAAAAGAATTTTAAGTAATTATAATTACAAATTTTTTTAATTATTGGTATGATTCTGATACTTCCGTACGTCTTTAGCTCCACTCAACAGTGATATTGATTTAACAGCTGTATGTCACAGTATTGTGCATTCAAAATTAACATATAGAGAGCACTGCTGTGGGAAGTACAGAGGAAAAAGAACGCTTGCTCTTCACTCCATGAGACTTCATTATTATGATGCAGAATTGTGAACAGATAGACTTTTTAAGCATATTACTTTTGTAACTGATCACAGCTATGAAAATCTATTTATTTAGCAGTGAATTAATCAAGAGCATATTACAAAGGGAATTGGTTGAAGAAAACTGAATGACTGCATTGGTCTGCATTTCTTTCAGTTAGGTTCATTTTTGGAAACAGTTTGGGGGCAGAACAAAAAGGTAAAGCTGATGATATTACTGAGTGAAAGGCTGTGGTGCTCACTCAGGACAGGAAGGTAGTTATTTCTTCACATTTTGCCTTCTATAGCACCATGTACACACATGGTTTCCCCTTTTTTAAAAACCAGAATAAATAATTATCTTTTGATTTGCTTTACACATGTGCACAAAAGTTAAATGACCTAGCATTTATAGAGTGCTACTCTAAGTGCTCAATATCATTATTTGGCTTTAATTCAAATTTTGTGAGAAACTCCAGAAATCTTGTACTACATCTCGGAAGTTTCTTCCATTGTACAAACCAAAAATTCACTATTACATGATAATAAAAGAGAGATGGCTAACTTCACTATTATAGCTGAAATTAATCCAAATTATGGCTGACAAAGGCATTTTGTCCTTTTAAAATATACACACACACACACCCCGTAACAGATTTTACCTACCTGTCAGATTGCTGTAGAATTATTTTTAAAATTTTGATTTAAACTGGGTTTTTTGATTATCATGAATTAGACCTGCTGGTGTGCTTTGAAAATGCGTCTTCAGACTTCTGCTTGCCAAATGAAATACCTGAAGTATTTGTGAAATTTTGGCCCTAAGTAAGTTGCTGAGCAGAATCTAAGCACATGTTTAAGTTAAATTTGTCATAAACGCTGTTGCCAACTGATCTGCTGGCAAGAACGTTTCACCAAAAAGGAAAAAATAAAAGCAAATTTCTATTTTTTCATTTCATTAGAAATCTGATTGAAAAAGCTGCACTGATTTAAATGAGAAACAGAGCATGGCTATTATAAGCTGCTTCATCCAATCCAAACCATTACAAGATCAAATTGCAAATATCAGGTTTTCCAAATGAGCAATTCAGACACAGGCAATAGGCTGAAATACATTGGCAAGTTTTGTAATTTCAGAGTGTAAAATCATGGCAGCTGTGATGTGGCCTTTCTAAATGGTCATGTGTGCATCCCTCATCCATAGAATAGCACAGCAAACTCTGCTAGACAATCAAAATCATCCTGGAGAGGCAGCAAAGTATCTATTACATCTTCACCCATGCTACTGAACTGCTCCATTTGGAAATGTGCATCCAGCCCAGCTCTCCAAGTCCAGAAAAACATTCTACACACCTGACCAACTTTTCCCTATTTGCTTTCACACAGAAAACAGAAATATATTTGAAAATAATATAGTTTGCTGCAAAAAGCTTATCACATTCCATGGAGACTTGGAGACTTTCTAGTATTGCAGCATGTCTCAGGCATCTGCAGCCTTGGGATAAGAAATCCAAACAGGTATAAGGAGTAATGTCTTTAAACCCCAGTGCTCTATTTTAGTCCAGCTGATATTGTCACAAATACCAACAAGAGCAATCATTTACCTTTACTAGATAACTTTCTTCTGCTCTGAAAGGACAAAAGCATTAAATTCAAAGGAAAACTTAATCACATTTAAAAGTGATTGGGTGAAGTTTAGGAGCAGTTTTTACATTGCTTTTTCCTTGACTCAGTCCTGCAGCCTCTAATCATTAGCTGGACAGCTGTGCTATGTGATTAATTTATTTAGGTGTTGCTGTGATGCACAAATGTATATACTGAAAAGAACTACAGTATTGCTTTGCAGTAAGTAATAACCATGTTCCAGTAAGTGATTCAGTGCCAGAGTGTTTAGAAATGCAATCTTATGTAGCTTAATTAAAATGAAGTGCCCCTTTCAAGCTATTTGCTCTGAGTTTGACTGAAAAAGTCCACTATGTACTACTGGAGTTGGAAAAAGTGGTAAAGTAGTTTCTGCAAAGACTTGTTTTGATAAACATGAGTTCAAGAATAAAGCTATTTTGGGACATTGCTATGTCTGCAGCAAGACAACAATTTACTGAATGGAAAGTGTTGCACAGCAAGAGAGAGTGGAAAGAAAACTCTTCACAAGCCAAAGCTGAAAGAAAACAAATTCTAACAAATGTTGTTCACTTGTCTGGAGACATGATTTTACTCCTTGACTTAACTCAGCAGCACAGAAACTCAATGATTTGAAAATAGATGAGCTAGCAACTTGACCTGGAATACTTCCACCCCTTCACTGATAGTTTTCTTGCTGTTTATTTCTAGGGAAAACTGGGAAAACAACAAGCAGAATGGAGAGAATGGTATCCAGAGGCTCTCAAGTTCAGTGGGAGTCTATTCACTGCCTGTTGTGGGCACCAGCTCAGACCCCAGACTGGTGATACCTGGAGGTTCCTCTGCTGGGTTTTTGTCAGTGACAAAAGCTGTGACACTCCCACGACAGTGTAGTGGGCTGGGGGAACAAAGTTAGCACAGATATGTCTGTGTCCCATTAAATCCCCAACCACACAACATAAAATCAGGTCTCCCAATGATGATAACTGGTGGAATAGGCACTCCCACTGCTGGCAGCTCAGAGTGAAAAGAGACAGATCTGAGGTTCTGAGTTACTGGCTCAGGGTTAGCAGAGGACTTGGCCCCCAGCAGCAGTGCCCTGCTCCTCAGTCCTTTGGCTCAGCTCACTGGCAATTTCTCTTCTTATTAGTGAAGTATGACAGAAGAGCCCATGTTTGAAGGAAAATGTAATTTGAAAGGTGTATTTAGATAAACACTGGTCAGAAGATATGCTCACAGGCTGGCATTCATTCAGCCTACATGTCAGTCTGCTCTGGCATGTCCGCAGCACTGATTTATCCTCCTTCTTCACTCCCTCAGTCACGCTTGAAATTGAAGTTGAAAAAAAAAAAAAGAATAGAAGATAAGATAGTGGCTAAAAAAATTCATCTAAAGAATCTTTCCCCACAGTTCATACTTTGAGACCTCAATTCAAATCATCCCTACAAACTGAAAAGCATTTGGAAACCCAAAGCCTCAGAAGCAGAGCTGCTGCAGCCGACACCACAGCTGGCTACCATGAAAAGGCTGTTCTCCAGCTCACAAGCCTTGTTTGAATTTCAAGCTTCTCTTATGAAACAAGAATCTATTGGCTCTGGAAGAGCTGAGAGGAAGCAGCCATGGTCCCCTGCTTCCTTCAGGTCACGGTCTTTCTTCACAGAGAGAGACAACAGTCTCCACAGGTCATGCAAGGGTCTTCTGACTTTGGGAAAGCACAATCCTAGGGGACAGCATCAGCTAATTGAATGAAAAATAATTTCCAATTCTTGCACTGATTTATATAATACGTCTCTTACATAACTTGTGAGTATTAAAGGAGTCTAGAGCGTCCTTTCTCCTTCTGACAAAATGTGATATTTTTGTTATCTGGCCCAGCCGTACTGAGTTCCATTTGCTTTGTCATGTGGAAAAATGGGAACTTCTATTAAAAGCCATCTACACTTTTCTCAAAACATGTTTTATTCTTTTCTTGTAAGAGAAACACTTGCATCTATAGATTTAATTCACGTTTTGTCATGTAAGTGCCAAGTTACAACCTTACTCCTAAAATAAAGCATCAGTTATCTACTGACCATCACCACAGTCTGGTAGTAGCCTTACACTTATGTGTCATGCCTGAAAGTTCCATTTGCTCTGTTGTTTGGAAAAATGGGAACTTCTATTAAAAGCCATCATCACTTTTCTCAAAACATGTTTTATTCTTCTCTTGTAAGAGAAACACTTGCCTCTATAGATTTAATTGATGTTTTGTCGTGTAAGTGCCAAGTTACAACCTTACTCCTAAAATAAAACATCACCAGAAGTTACAATCTTACTCCTAAATAAAGCATCACCAACCTTACTCCTAAAATAAAGCATCAGTTATCTACTGACCATCACCACAGTCTGGTAGTATCATTACACTTATCTGCCATGCCTGAAAGTTCCATTTGCTCTGTCGTGTGGAAAAATGGGAACTTCTATTAAAAGCCATCTTCACTTTTCTCAAAACATGCTTTATTCTTTTCTTGTAAGAGAAACACTTGCATTTATAGATTTAACTCACATTTTGTCATGTAAGTGCCAAGTTACAACCTTACTCCTAAAATAAAGCATCACCACTTGAGTAGGTAGCCTGTCTTTACCCTTCAACAAGGCCAAACTCTTGACAAAGGGTCATTAATGGTAAGGCTGGGAAGAACACACGCACTCGTGAGGGAACAAAGCGAGATGAGGAGAATGCGGAGGTGAAAAGACAGCCGAGGAGGGAGACGGGAGAGGGCAGAGGGTGGTGTTACCATGGAGGCCTTGCGGAGGCTGAGGCGGTCGCAGCGGGATCGGAAGTAGGCCTCGTCGAAGGACGTGTGGCTGCCCTTCAGCTTCTCCGACAGGTTCCGGTAGAGCCGCTTGGCCGCACTGGGCGATGAGGGCATGCTGTGCTTTTTGCTCTGCAGCAGGCTCAAGTTGTGCATTTGCTGCGTCATTCTCACCCAGGGTTTTCTAGAGGGAAAGCAGCAGCTGTTTAGTGAGGTTTTGCTAGACCAACGTCGTTGATCAGAAGTGTGCCCCTGAAACACACAGTGCAAGGCTGCTGGGCCTAAAATCACCTTCACACACAGCTTCTGCACATGTTTGGGGCTTTTTCAGTGGCAAATTGCTCTTTATGGAATTACACCCATGGATATCTATGGAGACAGACAATTAAAGATGGAAAAAGAAAACAGATAACCCCAGAATTATTTGCTAATTCATATAAGGAGAAGGAGTTTCAATTAATGAGGGAAACAATGTTTTTGGAGAGTGAGTTCTGGGAATACAGGTGTCAGAAAAAAGTGACACCCAAAAGTAAATGTTGCTATAGACAGTTTCATAACGAGTGGCTTTTTCCTCATGTAGTGGGCAGGCACTGGTTGTGTCTACTTGTTGTTTTACTTTATCCTGCTCTGTGTTTGCCCTGTCCATTTAGAGTACAGCCTTCTCTTCTCCAGCCTTCACTAATGCAGGAAGTGTATTTGTCTCCATCTTCTTCAACTCAGTTGCCCAGATATTTTTCACAGAATCTCTTGAAAGTCATCAAGTTCAAGCTTTTCTTGAGAAGGGAAAAATTGTTTCCAGAATCTCAAATTTCTACAGAGAACAGCTTGACAGCTGCATTTTCTTTTATGAGAAAATACCTACCTGAGCAAGTAAAGGAGAAGCACCTGTCAGTTCTTGGACAGTTTTCCAGGAAATGAGAGTCTTTGGGAGAGGTGCTCTAGTGACACCTGTCCCAATACACATTCAAAACCCAGATAGTTGGCAGGGCTGTTTTCTCTGTTTCAATGTCTACACTGTAGAAAGAAACTGGATTCTCTGTTACAGCATTCTAGAATGCTGGTGTAAGCTTTGAACCAAAGCAAATTTAGGCATCACTGAGGTGCTAATCTGTGTCACCAAGCCAGAAAAAGTTCAGAGCAGTTAATTACCAAGCCTGTTTCCCATGGCATGGGTTACTGTTCTTATGGACTGTGACTAAACATAATTTGACTCCAGATATTACCATTCCTTGGGGTAGCTGGAGTCCTTCCCACCTTGATCTGGCCAATGAACCAGGATTTATCCATTCAGAAGAAAACAACAGAGTGTTAGTAACCACCTAAACAACTTCTGAGGACAGTAACCACAGCGTGCCCTTGCCACACGTGGAAGCTTTGTCAGTAAAAACCCAAAGCAGATCCATAGTCTGACCCTGATGGAAAAAGAGAACAGAATCTTTTATAATCTCATCAATGTTTCTGTGAAGTCAAGAGCTGGTGAATCTATAGAGAAGCTAAGTAAACACCCTCGAAATAGCAGCTAACAATAAAACAGATGGCGTCCTTGCTATCCACACAGAACTGGTGAATCACAAATGACTTGAAACATAGATGTGTTCCCTGTATAGTCACCATCAATATCCCAAAGAAGTGCAGGGGATAACTGTGGAACAATAAAGCAATGGCTGGAATGACATGATGTGAACAAGCTGCATTTTTTCATCAGTGTACTGAAACACCAGTACACTGAAAAAGTACAAAATGCTACTGCAGATTATTGTACTTAGCATTCTTCCTAGTCACATACAAGGTATGAAATGAAAAAAAAAAAAAAAAAAGGCAAGTTGAATATTCTGTAAAACTTTCTGGAAGTGATATCTTATTAGGCTGGAAATGACTCACAGTAGAGCAATAGGAATGAGATTGGGCAGAATTGTGGGTGAAAAGCATAATAAGAAATAAAGAAAAGAGACAGCTCGATCCACATGATTCTGTGATGGAAAGCACAGGGGTTTTTTGGTGCTGTTATTTTTTTACAGAAATCAACTATTTCATGAGAGTATTTTTAGGCTCCTTTAAAAAGTCATTAATTTTATTTCTTTTACAACCATATCCTTGCCTCAACAATCAGGCGAAGACCTAAATGTGCATTGTCTTGATTGAAACAACAAATACCCCAGTTGAAATGCACTTAGCCTGAGGATGTGTCATTGTCAGAACTTATTTTTGCAGCACCTGGAAGACTAATAATTTAGAAAAAGAAGATGTGCAGAACAGCCCCATTTGAGATTTTCACATCTGGAAGCCTCTGCACAAATCTGACATGGGTCAGGATGACAGGATGACATAAGGACCTCTCCATATGGTTTGGGGTAGCCCTGTGTGATCTAATTTGCACCCCCACAGCAAGGTGAGCACTGCAAGAGGCAGCACAGCACCAGCTTTTACTGGGAAAGGCAGAACTAGAAAAAATAACAACAGCAGCTCCCCTTATAACCAGACATAATTAACAGCAGTTTTCATTTCGAAGAATTACAGAGCATAAAAGTCTTGCAGCAGATCTCTGGGGAAACAGTTACTGCCCTGCCCTGGAAATACCCATCAAACCAGTGTGACTGTCACTGTACTATAGCTAGGAACCAAACCAGGGACCGAGGTCTCCCTGGTCATATTTCATATTTCATTCTGCACATCCTGCAGGTTCATCTTTGTGATCAGATTTCTACTTGCACCTAAGCACTGAACCATATTATTCCCCATCACCAGGGCCCTTTAAAAGTCAAATTCAAATTCAAATGGATATAAAATACTTACCTTTACAAAAGATTTGTGGGATTTTTTTCCTTTTTAATTGTCTAATACTGACCTAATATTCATGTCCCTCAAAAACATGTTGCAGAGAAAGAAATAGAAATACCTAAATTATAGATCACTGTTGTATGTGGCACATACATGCCACACTCTAAAGACAGGTGCATTGGTAGGGCACAGCATAGCTGTAAAAACATTCTCTTAGGATTTTAGGAAAACACAACAGCTGAGAAACCCCTCAGCACTGTATGTTTATGAATCAAACATACTTGAAACTAGTAATTAGGAATATGTGCATTAAAGAGTTAAATTGGACTTACCAGCTTAGGCTGTCCAAGGCAAAAGGTGAACAAGTTGCTGTTAATTGTCCCCACTCTTCCTTCAATGAATCACATTAGCTCTGCTGTCTCTGCTGGCTCAGCCCCTGGGCAGAATGAGTAAATCTCTTCCTTACACTGCATGAATGATCAGATACAAAAAAGCCTGTTACTAGTGATTACTGAAGTCCAAGATTGCTGCTAAAACCTCAGAGCAGAACAGTATTTAAAGCAAGTAGTGTTGTACCACAGGTAGAATGTTTGGTGCCTAAACTCTGTCCCAGTTACCTGTGCAGCTGTAGGAATCACCAATATGCGAAGCCTCCATGTGAGAGATGCCATGACTTCTGTGTGCTTTTAGCTTGTTGTAGCCTTTAAAACTGATCAGCAGCACAGCGTGCAAGTAGAAAAAATAATTACTGCCAGAGTAAACAAAACTGTGATTGTAATTAATTTGGCATGAAGTATGAGCAAAAAGACATTAATGCAGCCATCCTCAAGCAGCTGATTTTATGCTAAAACAGCGAGAGGAAGGGGTAAAAATCACAGTGCAGTAGTGCTTGTTGCATGTGATGTATTGTTTCTTCTTTCTCCAAGCAAGCTACCACTCCAGCTGTCTGCAATCATAGCAACAAAAGCAGCAGGCATAGCCATAGCTGTGGGACATCTGCAACATCATTGGAAAGCTCCCAGCCTGAACAGGTTACGCCTCAAAAAGATTATTAAATGGGTAGCAAAAGCACACTCTACACATGCTAAAGCAGATCCTGTGATGTCTGCATTAGGAGGTTCCAAAATAGGAAAATAGTGATATTTCAAAATCCCATTTTTTTACTCTAGAGCAAAAAAATTGCAAATGCTGGAACTCAGAGAATCCCACAAAAAAATTACAAAGTCAAATGTGGAATATTTCAAATACCCATATGCAGAATTCTAAAAACAGTGAAGGTGACAATCAAAGATAAACAACAACCTAGGGAATTGTTGTCCTTCTAGACAGTCCACTGGGTTAAATTCATGCAATCAGAAAACTCCAGTGCAACATCAGATAATAGAAAAGAACCAAAACACAGCAATTCCTGGTCCTAGCCAGTGACCATTAATATCTACAGAAAAGTATTTTGGATTATTTTTAAGGAGATACCGGAGCTACTCTCAGAATCTGCGGAGTTTTATTCCCTGGTTTTATTCAGACATGATTTGGAAAATGCTGGAAACCTCCCAAAATCTGTTGATCAGCCTGATTCTCCCACAGTTCAAACCTCAGCCAAGGTGCTGTGCCTCATACCCAAGGGCATCCCTTTGCCCAAGTAGCTGCAGCTCAAATGTAGTCCTGGGACTGATGTGTGTATGCCATGGAACTGCAAGATAATCTGTATTTTTTAAACCAATTTGGATATGGATCAAACCATTCTTTGGGGGTTTTCTATCAACACACATGCCTGCATGTACATGTGTAAACATACACACAGACATGGGCATATGAGAATATCAAATGCAAATAATGAGAATATCAAATGCTTATAGTTATAGGGCATAATGAGAATATCAAATACAAATAGTTACTTGCTTTGCTGCAGCAGAGAATTGCAAAGTGCTATTACAATATTCTATGCACAGCATTCCTTCTCCTGTACCTTGAAAATCTCAGGCCCTCCATTTACAGGATTCCCTCTTTTGTTCTGCTCCTTCCAAGGATCATTAGTCAGCGAGCTGACTGAGGTCACTGCTCCTTGCCAACAGGAGGGAATTGGAAATCTTTCAAAAACCACCAAATACCTCTCTAACACTGAGATACTATCTGGAAAAAAACATGCTGAAAATCTGAAATGTCCAAATCAGTTAAAAATAAATGTAAGCCTAGGAACTCCATTTTCAGTGCTGTGCTAAATAGGCATGATTCTTCTAAGGCAAAGTCTCCAAATAAGTTTTTTTTGCCTATATAGACCTCACCTATGCAACTCACTTGTAAAGGAATTCTCCATTTCCAGCTATGTTGAGGGGGAAAATATAGAGTGAATTTCTAGAAATCAGTCTATTCTTAAACATTTCCAGCACCTTCTCATTGTGGTTCAATAATTCTATCTTCTGCTTTCTCCCTTCAGCTTGGTGGAAAGCAGCCCTTTTTCATTGCCATTTTGATTTTTTAAATGCTTAGTCCTTTTTCTACCCAAAGAGTATTTAGCAGAGTAGTAAAAGTCAAGATGTTTTCTTGCCCAAGCCTAGCTCTTGTGAAATACAATTAGGTTTTTTTGGCACAAGTTAATATATTTATAATCTTCTTGACCTACGAATATAAATTCATAATTAACCTGTTCAAAATCCAGAAGAAACAAAACAATTCCCAGTAAGGTAAAAGAAGTAATCATACATTTAGCAAATGATAAAAATGAAATTATTAAAATTATTATTGAATATTTGTAAATAACTGTGAGAGGCACCTACATCTAGTTCTAGAAATGAAGAAGGCTAAAAGACCTACAGAAGAAGTAGACCCTGAGTTTATGATGAAACACGCAGAAGAAGATCCTTTAGTCTGATCTCCTGCAGAAACCTGCCCATCCTCAGCCTCTGATGCTCCCATCAGAGGACAGAGAAGCCATCCAGCTCTCCTTGCCCTTGCATTCCTCTCTCCAGAGCTGCACAGAGCATTTTGCTGGCTGCACTCACACTGCTGCCTTAACCTCCTGCCGCAGGTTTTCCGTCCTTGACTGGTGAGTCAGAAGTTCCCTGCCTGCAGCACACAAGGAGAGCTGATCCCACAGGCTGCTCTTGCTCTCACTGCTGCTAAAGCTGCATGTTTTTGTGAAGATGTACATTTAGAGGTACATTTTGTGTAAGGAGGCTGCCCAAGTTGGCTGATTCAGTGCCACAGTCCCCCAGACCTTCACCCTGTGCTGTTCTCAGCTTTACACACCGCAGGCTTTTTAGCGTTGTGTTGGCCATTAACTCCACGTAGCAAATTCTGCTTGTTCCTCGCAGACCTTGGGAGGTTTCTGGGATGAGGAACTCCGTGTTTGGGCTGGGGTTTCGCTCCTCCATCCATCGATAGGTGGCAGCGTCCACCCAGCTCTCCCCAGCCCGGGCAGGTCCCGGAGCGGCGGCCACGCCGGGATCCCTGTCCCGGGACACGGTGCCCAGCAGGGCATCCCCATCTCCAACAGGGTATCCCCAGCAGGGCATGCCCACATCCCGAGCAGGGCATCCCCATCCCCAGCAGGGCATCCCCCATCCCCAGCAGGGCATCCCCACATCCCGAGCAGGGTATCCCCACATCCCGAGCAGGGCATCCCCCATCCCCAGCAGGGCATCCCCACATCCCGAGCAGGGTATCCCCCACCCCCAGCAGGGCATCCCCATCCCCAGAGGACATCCCCCACCCCCAGCAGGGCATCCCCCATCCCCAGCAGGGCATCCCCCATCCCCAGAGGACATCCCCCATCCCCAGCAGGGCACTCCCATCTCCAACAGGGCATCCCCAGCAGGGCATCCCCCCATCCCCAGCAGGGCATCCCCCATCCCCAGACCCCAGCCTGTCCCTGCTTTACATCACCTGCCGTGGCTGTGAAAAACATTTGGTTTTTCCCACTAGAAACTGGGTGGGAAGTTTGGAGTGGAAAAACGGACATGGACCCTGGCTTTACTTGCAGTGATGGCAAAGCTGTTCCATTATAAGAGACAAAGCTGCATTTTAGGCTGTTCACAGTCCCAGAAAAGGAACAAACATTGCTCAAATATCAGATCTCCATCCACTGTCACAGCAGTGGAGCCAGGCAGATTGGATACCTGGGACTGGGATCTCCATCCCCTCCCAAAGTAACAAGACAACATGGCTAACTCTGACACCTGTAGACATTCTCATTTTTAAAATCCATTACTTGAAATGTAGTTAAAGTGACTCTTCTCCCTGAAACAAGATAGTGGGGTAGTTTTTTTCATACAGTCAAAAATATTCAGTGGGAAAGGTAAAATAAAAAGCAAACCAAACCCCCAAACACATAGAAGTGTACGTTTCTTTGTCCCCATACTCATTCTTTCTTGCACATTTTTATACATAAAACGTACTGTAGTAAATTACAACTCTGATTTTGGCAATTCCTGTCTCTCTGGCTCCTTGTTTACCTATCATCTTTCACACATACCCTTTGCCAATTTGTTTATTCTCTGTCCTGTTCCCTGGTTTCTTGTGTTTCTTCAAGGACATTGGTTGGAGTCTTACTGTTTCACTAGTTACTTTAGCCAGTGTTCTTGATCCAAATCCATAGCAAATAACCTATTATCCACAAAGACACAGAAGTATTCAGTATACTTATGAAAAAGCCAAATATTTCCCAGTTGATCAGTCGCAGACATGATCAAACTTGAAAAATTCTGAAATTGTGAGTAAAGAAAAAATAATTGTGTTTGGACTAAGCTTAGAAATAATTTCCCCAAGTATTCTGAAATGTGTGAGGCAATGTGATGTCAGTGATGAGTGGAACTGGGCTTGGCAGCCCTGGCTCCTCCAGGTTTCCTCTGGAGCCACAGCTCCCAGCCCAGGGTCCTGTCAGCCCCACCTGGAACCCAACACATCCAGGCTCTGCAGGGCTGGATGTGGCAGATGCACCCGTGCCTGGGGCCTGCAGATTCCCAGAGGAAAGATGCAGATGGGAGGAATTCTCAGCTTGGTGGCAGCTGTGGACTTGCTGCTTGTACTTCAGAATGTGATTTTAAATGAACTAGCAGAAACTCAGAACTGTTTGGTCAGAATTCTTTAAAGATGGCCTGTTTTTCATACAGTCACAGTGGCTTGTTTACCCTGCTAGTCTTTTTACTTGGAAAATTCCCGAGAATAATAATTCCTGGCTGCAGTGGAATAGAATCAGGCCTGGGCTGTCAGAGCTACAAAACTACTGAGTCATTTGGGATCTTTTGGAGTGTAAGTTAAGGTAAACAGAAATAAAATGGTATAAGAAGTCCATCAGTGCATCAAAGCCCTCCTTGTTTGAACCAAGGAATCAAAGGGCAGGTGCTGTTACCTATCAGGAGGTGTGCACCAATCCCGATACATGGAAGTGCTGCTCTATTGCAAAACCAATGCAGAGCAGAGTTCTTGGCTGGTGGTTCTTGCAATTATTCCCCAGATTAGGAAAACCCCC